CTTCCTGGTTCCAAGTCTCAGGCACAGTTAAGAGATGGAGATTCACAGTATTGGTAAAAAGATAATGCTTGAGTAAGACTTGGGTAAAACAAAAAAAAGGGGGGGATGCTGAACCCATTAAAAGGATCTTCTTTCTATGAAAACTTCTGCTCAGCATATTCAAGACACATTTTGGCAGAAAGTCATTTATCTTCTCTCTCTGGACCTGGGAACGGCCGTAGGAAGTGTTTGGGCCTCTTCCCAAATATAATCCCTGACCATTTGGAGGCTGAGAACCCTCTCTGCCCGCGGCCTCCTGGGACTCCGGTGGCCGTCTGTCGGTCAGAGGCACCGAGCATCCCCACGGTGGACATGTGGGAAAGATGGTCTCTGTCCTTGAGGACATAAGGTCTGGTCAGGGAAACAGAGCAGGCCCATGTGAAAGAGTCAGGCACACAAATATAGCAAAAATAGACCCATGCAGTGTGGAAAATCCAAGCGCAGACGTCACTATGGACTCAAGGTCCAACATTAAGTCAGAGAGGAACAGGAAGAAGTTGAACGTGAAGTGCTAGGTCATCAGAAGAGCCTTCCTAGAAAAGGTCCCATCCACTTATTTGCCGACTCTCATTCAGCATTTACGTGGTGGGCACTGACGTCTGCTTTTTGGGAAACATGGTGCTGACTGTGCAGGGAGGCTGGGGTCAAGGATATATGGGGGCACCTGCCCAGGTGGGAAGTCAGAGCAGGCCTCCTTGAGAAAATGATGCTTTCATCAGATTCCTGAAGGCAGCCCTGCCCCTGACTTCAGCCAGAAACCCAAGAAAAAGTACAAAGAGGCCCCCACCTGTGGCCTGCCCACCTCTTTCCATCCTAGCAGATGTGCCATGTGTGGGCACCTCAGGCCTCCAGTTCAAACTCTGTCCACATGCCACTCCCCTCTACTCCTTGGCCAGCATTCCGGCCTAGAATCTGATCTATCCTCAGGAGACTGATCCAGATCAAAGGCCCACAGTGGGCTTGGGCCCTTTGCACAGGGCATTCAGGAGTCCTGAGTCTACAAAGGTATATGATCTGGAAGTGGGTACACAGCTGGTGGCAGACATGTCCCCCCCCACCCCACTGGCTTCTCACTCTATGGAGAGGGACACAGCTACCTCAGCCAGCGTACTGCTCAGGGCAGGGATTCTGACTGCAGGGTCTAAGGACATTTCTGCCTAAAGGATAAGTAGGTGTTAGTTAAATTGGCAGGAGGGTGGTGTAGGAGGGTAAGCCTTCTTCTGGAAGGAAGGACAAGTGCAAGATCCCTGAGATGGAAAACGTCCTTGGTCACCTTCCTAAAAGCAGGGTGTAGGGGAGAGCTGGGTGAGGTTGGAGAACAGACAGGGGCCTGGTGGGCCAAGGTAAGGACATGGTAGGCCAGGAGAGGTCGTTTTGAATGGAGCAAGAACATTCCTTCCAAGCTAAGCTCGTGTGATGCCAATAAGGTATTTGATGTGAGAAGAGAAAGCAAGCTGTTCGGTTTGGCTGGGCCTGAGAGGACTGAGAAAGGCAAGAGCAGGAAGAAAGAAAACATCTGGAGAGGAGCAACTGTGGAGGAGTTGTAGGCATGTACCAAGGGACCAGGGTCATCAAAGGGAACTCAGAGCCTCTGGGAGGAACGCGAACAGAATTGGGCGGAGGCCCAGATTCGCTCTTTGTTCTGTGCTGACCATGGAAATGAGGCCAAATAATTTGCCACATTTAACACCTTTCCACTCAGAGATGCTCCCTACGCTTGAGTTGTAGTACTTTATACGTAGGCGACTTGTGTGTTTTCCTGTGTGATTTATGTCCTGGAAATTACTCTGCATTGGCAACACATCACATTTTCCACTTAGTAAACGTAGCCACTGTTTATGCTTTGGGCAACATTTTACAGTGGTCGCCAAATCCTTGTTTCCTTATTGTGTCGTTTACTTTTTATAATCAGTGATGGCATTCCCATCAGTTAATGCCTGTGAAGTTGTGAATGCATTAGGCCGCAATAAGAATTGTTCCTGAAGTCTGTAAGCAGATGTTGGGGTGTGTGTGTGTGTGTGTGTGTGTGTGTGTGTGTGTGTGTGTGTTTATGATAACAGTGCTTACATAATCTCAACAACCAGGCCCTAGGGACTCACACTCGGAGATGGAACAGTTGGTTTAAATTAGGTTTCCATGTGAAATACGGTATCTCTATTTTTTTCCTAGCATTGTGGGAAAGTATATGGAAAATCATTTGACTGATAGGAAATAAATCTGGATGCTTGATCAGGACTGAGACACAAACCACGTGCTGGTCTCTGCTCCATGAAGCAGGACTCTCCAGAGAAAGAGGAGTTAACCCTTTCAGACTACTGGGCTAATGAATCACCAGAATAGCCTGAAAGAACCACGACTTTCCAGAGACGTGATTTGACATCAATTTCAACAACAATACAATGGAGCTAAAGCTACAGAAAGATATAGCCAAAGGCCTCAAAAACTAATCCATTGGATGTCCTTGAGGAACCATTTTAACTTCTACGATTTCATTTTTATTTGTAAGGTGACAGGTTTGAATTTCTAGCTCAAAGAGTCAATGATCTTATGATACTAAGTGTTTTCTGGGGAATTCCCACAGCAGGATAGGGCTTATCGGACACAAATCACGCTATAGGAAGAATTGGACAGAAGCACCAAAGATACTCAGTCTCTATCAGCAAAATAAGTTCGTGCTCTGGAGAGCCAGGGTTTCACAAAGGTGACTTTTAATTGGGTAACCAGGTGAAGGGACAAGGCTTGGAAATGGTGAGCAAGGGCTTATTTAGCTACAGGGAAGGGGTTGGCTCTGCAAATCCCAGAGGGAGATCCTTTGTGCTCCAAGCAGCCCTGAGAGATTGGAATAAATGGTTATCTTTTCCCCAGGAGACTCAGAAGTCCTTGCAGGGTGAACAGGACCAGAGCTCATCCTAGGGGTTTTGATGCCTAATCTCTCCTGATGTTCCATGAGGACCCAGTGAAGTCCAGACAGGTAGAGAGCAGAGGAGCATGCTCAGAGCCCCCTGGGCTGGGCCAGGAGGAGGCAGGTATCACTGCAGTGCTCCTGGCTGCTACCAGAGTGTGACGCTGTTTTATCACTGCAGCTCCATGTTGCTATTATTTCTCTACATGTTCCTGAGTAGGGAGAAGAAAAGGGTGTTCAGCATCAATCTTTTCTGGTCTGTTTTGTTCTTTAACCATTTTTTTGTGTGGTACTCTTCTCGATATCTTCTTTTTTTCCAGTTCTGTCCTCTTACTGGGGGCTTAGATGGACCTAACCAATGCCACGTGGAAACTGTCACCCTTCATCAGATGAAAGAGCACCTGACTGGGAGTCCTAGTTTTCACATCAACAAGAATTGTGACCTCAGAAAGTCACTTCTCCCATGAGCCATAGATTCCTGACCTGGAAAATGGGGTTGGACTGCCCTCTGTTGTGGCTGCCAGCAATAAATGCCATTCATTCCTATCACTTTATGGCAGTGCATACATTCCTCTCATTTTACAGGAGTGCATACAGAACTCTTTTTCCTGCCATTGTCATGAGTCACCATCAACTCTGTTCACGCCTCACTCTCACTCAGGCCAGGGAAGCAAGTGTCCCCCCCGCCCCCGCC